TCATTTCTTCCTTACTGACTCTTGAGATATATACACCGCAACTTTAAAGCTGTTTCCTTCCTTACTGACTCTTAAGATATATACACCGCAACTTTAAAACTACTTGCTTCCTTACTGACTCTTGAGATATATACACTGCAACTTAAAAAATCATTTCTTCCTTACTGACTCTTGAGATATTCCCTTTTGATTTTAAGCTGACGCGTACGCTTACCATATTTGTAGATTATGGTATATCGGCTGATATACCATAATGGCTAAGCCAATAAAAAGTCTTGAATTGCATTATCCAATGATCCAGTTTTTAATAATAAGATATATACACCGCAACTAAAAAACTCATTTCTTCCTCACTGACTCCTGAGATATATACACCGCAACTTAAAAACTCATTTCTTCCGTACTGACTCTAGAGATATATACACCGCAACTTAAAAACTCATTTCTTCCTTACTGACTCTTTAGATATATACACCGCAACTTTAAAACTGCTTCCTTCCTTACTAACACTTAAGATATATACCCCGCAACTTTAAAACTGCTTCCTTCCTTACTGACACTTAAGATATATACACCGCAACTTTAAAACTACTTCCTTCCTTACTGACTCTTCAGTTATATACACAGCAACTTTAAAACTGCTTCCTTCCTTACTTACTCTTCAGATATATACACCGCAACTTTAACACAGCTTCCTTCCTTACCAGCTCTTGAGATATATACACCGCAACTTTAAAACACCTTCCTTCCTTACTGACTTATGAGATATATACACCGCAGCTATAAAACTGCTTCCTTCCTTACTTACTCTTCATATATATACACCGCAACTTTAAAACAGCGCCCATCCTTACTGACTCTTGAGATATAAACACCGCAACTTTAAAACTGCTTCCTTCCTTACTTACTCTTGAGATGTATACACCGCAACTTTAAAACTGCTTCCTTCCATACTGACTCTTAAGATATATACACCCCAACTTTAAAAAAGCTTCCTTCCATACTGACTCTTGAGATATATACACCGCAACTTTAAAACACCTTCCTTCCTTACTGACTCTTGGGATATATACACCGCAACTTAAAAACTCATTTCTTCCTTACTGACTCTTGAGATATATACACCGCAACTTAAAAAATCATTTCTTCCTTACTGACTCTTGAGATATATACACCACAACTTAAAAACTCGTTTCTTCCTTACTGACTCTTGAGATATAAACACCGCAACTTTAAAACTGTCTCCTTCCTTACTGACTCTAAGATATATACACCGCATCTTTAAAACTACTTCCTTCCTTACTGACTCTTGAGATATATACACCACAACTTTAAAACACCTTCCTTCCTTACTGACTCTTGAGATATCTACACCGCAACTTTAAAACTGCTTCCTTCCTTACTTACTCTTCATATATATACACCGCACCCTTAAAACAGCTTCCTTCCTTACTGACTCTTGAGATATGTACACCGCAACCTTAAAACTGCTTCCTTCCTTACTGACTCATGAGATATGTACACCGCAACTTTAAAACTTCTTCCATCCTTACTGACTCTTGAGATATATACACCGCAACTTTAAAACTCCTTCCTTTGTTACTGGCTCTTGAGATATATACACCGCAACTTTAAACTTTCTTCCTTCTTTACTGACTCTTGAAATATATACACCGCAACTTTAAAACAGCTTCCTTCCTTACTGACTCATGAGATATATACACCGCAACTTTAAAGCAGCATCCTTCCTTACTGACTCATGAGATATGTACACCGCAAGATTAAAACAGCTTCCTTCCTTTCCGACTCTTGAGATATATATACCGCAACTTTAAAACTGCTTCCTTCCTTACTGACTTTTGAGATATATACACCTCAACTTTAAAACTTCTTCCATCCTTACTGACTCTTGAGATATATACACCGCAACTTTAACATAGCTTCCTTACTTACTGACTCATGAATTATATACACCGCAACTTTAAAACTGCTTCCTTCCTTACTCATTAGATGTATACACCGCAACTTTAAAACTGCTTCCTTCCTTACTGACTCTTGAGATATATACACCGCAACTTAAAAACTCATTACTTCCTTACTGACTCTTGAGATATCTACACCGCAACTTAAAAACTCATTTCTTCGTTACTGACTCTTGACATATATACACCGCAACTTAAAAACTCATTTCTTCCTTTCTGACTCTTGAGATATATACACCGTAGCTTAAAAACTCATTTTTTCCTAACTGACTCTTGAGATATATACACCTCAACTTAAAAACTAATTTCTTCCTTACTGACTCTTGAGATATATACACCGCAACTTTCTAACTGTTTCCTTTCTTACTGACCCATGAGATATATACACCGCAACTTTCTAACTGTTTCCTTTCTTACTGACCCATGAGATATATACACCGCAACTTTAAAACTGCATCCTTCCTTACTGACTCTTCTGATATATACACCACAACTTTAAAACTATTTCCTTCCTTACTAGCTCTTGAGATATATAAAACGCAAGTTTAAAACACCCTCCTTCCTTACTGACTCATGAGATATATACACCTCAACTATAAAACTGCTTTATTCCTGACTTATTCTTGATATATATACACCGCAACTTTAAAACAGCGTCCTTCCTTACTGACTCTTGACATATAAACACCGCAACTTTAAAACTGCTTCCTTCCTTACTTACTCTTGAGATGTATCCACCGCAACTTTAAAACTGCTTCCTTCCGTACTGACTCTTAAGATATATACACCCCAACTTTAAAACAGCTTCCTTCCTTACTGCGTCTTGAGATATATACACCACAACTTTAAAACACCTTCCTTCCTTACTGACTCATGAGATATATACAGCGCAACTTTAAAACTGCTTCCTTCCTTACTTACTCTTGATATATATACACCGCAACTTTAAAACAGCGCCCTTCCTTACTGACTCTTGAGATAGAAACACCGCGACTATAAAACTGCTTCCTGCCTTACTTTCTCTTGAGATGTATACACCGCAACTTTAAAGCTGTTTCCTTCCTTACTGACTCTTAAGATATATACACCGCAACTTTAAAACTACTTGCTTCCTTACTGACTCTTGAGATATATACACTGCAACTTAAAAAATCACTTCTTCCTTACTGACTCTTGAGATATATATACCGCAACTTAAAAACTCGTTTCTCCCATACTGACTCTTGAGATATCTACACCGCAACTTTAAAACTGCTTCATTCCTTACTAACCCTTGAGATATATACCGCGCAACTTTAAAACAGCTTCCTTCCTTACTAACTCATGAGATATATAAACCACTACTTCAAAGCTGTTTTCTTCCTTACTAACTCTTGAAATTTATACACCGCAACTTTAAAACTGTTTCCTTTGTTACTGACCCATGAGATATATACACCGCAACTTTAAAACTCTTTCCTTCCTTACTGACTCGTGAGATATATACACCGCAACTTTCAAACTGCTTCATTCCTAACTGACTCTTGAGATATATACACCACACCTTTAAAACAGCTTCCTTCCTTGCTGACTCATGAGATATATACACCGCAACTTTAAAACTCCTTCCTTCCTTACTTATTCTTGATATATCTACAACGCAACTTTAAAACTGTTTCCTTTGTTACTGACCCATGAGATATATACCCCGCAACTTTAAAACTGCTTCCTTCCTTACTTACTCTTGATATATATACACCGCAGCTTTAAAACTACTTGCTTCCTTACTGACTCTTGAGATATATACACTGCAACTTAAAAAGTCATTTCTTCCTTACTGACTCTTGAGATATATACACCGCAACTTTAAAGCTGTTTCCTTCCTTACTGACTCTTAAGATATATACACCGCAACTTTAAAACTACTTGCTTCCTTACTGACTCTTGAGATATATACACTGCAACTTAAAAAATCATTTCTTCCTTACTGACTCTTGAGATATATACACCGCAACTTTAAAGCTGTTTCCTTCCTTACTGACTCTTAAGATATATACACCGCAACTTTAAAACTACTTGCTTCCTTACTGACTCTTGAGATATATACACTGCAACTTAAAAAATCATTTCTTCCTTACTGACTCTTGAGATATATACACCGCAACTTTAAAGCTGTTTCCTTCCTTACTGACTCTTAAGATATATACACCGCAACTTTAAAACTACTTGCTTCCTTACTGACTCTTGAGATATATACACTGCAACTTAAAAAATCATTTCTTCCTTACTGACTCTTGAGATATATACACCGCAACTTTAAAGCTGTTTCCTTCCTTACTGACTCTTAAGATATATACACCGCAACTTTAAAACTACTTGCTTCCTTACTGACTCTTGAGATATATACACTGCAACTTAAAAAATCATTTCTTCCTTACTGACTCTTGAGATATATACACCGCAACTTAAAAACTCGTTTCTCCCATACTGACTCTTGAGATATATACACCGCAACTTTAAAACTGCTTCCTTCCTTACTGACTCTTGAGATATATACACCGCAGCTTAAAAAGTCTATTCTTCTTTACTGACTCTTGAGATATATACACCGCAACTTAAAACTCATTTCTTCCTTACTGATTCTTGAGATATATACTCCGCAACTTAAAAACTCATTTCTTCCTTACAGAGTCTTGAGATATAAACACCGCAACTTTAAAACTCCTTCGTTCCTTACTGACTCTTGAGATATCTACACCGCAACTTTTAAACTGCTTCATTCCTTACTAACCCTTGAGATATATACAGCGCAACTTTAAAACAGCTTCCTTCCTTACTAACTCATGAAATATATAAACCGCAACTTCAAAGCTGTTTTCTTCCGTACTAACTCTTGAAATTTATACACCGCAACTTTAAAACTGTTTCCTTCCTTACTGACCCATGAGATATATACACCGCAACTTTAAAACTGTTTCCTTCCTTACTAACTCTTGAGAGATATACTCCGCAACTTTAAAACTGCTTCATTCCTTACTAACTCTTGAGATATATACACCGCAACTTTAAAACAGCCTCCTTCCTTACTGACTCTTGAGATAGAAACACCGCAACTTTAAAACTGCTTCCTTCCTTACTGACTCACGAGATATATACACCGCAACCTTAAAAAAGCTATTTTCCTTACTGACCCTTAAGATATATACGCCGCAACTTTAAAACTTCTTCTATCCTTACTGACTCTTGAGATATATAGACCGCAACTTTAAAACTGTTTACTTCCTTACTGACTCTTGTGATATATACACCGCAACTTTAAAACTGCTTCTTTTTTTACTGACTCTTGAGATATATACACCACAACTTTAAAACTGCTTCTTTCCTTTCTGACTCATGAGATATATACACCGCAACTTTAAAACTGCTTCCTTCCTTACTGACTCTTGAGATATATACACCGCAACTTTAAACCTGCTTCCTTCCCTACTACTCTTGAGATATAAATACCGCAACATGAAAAGTGCTTCCTCACGGTCTCTCTAGATATATACACCACATCTTAAAACTGCTTCCTTCCTTAGTTATTCTTGACACATATACACCGCAACTTTAAAACTGCTTATTTTCTTACTTACTCTTGAGATATATACACGGCAACTTTAAAACTGCTTCCTTCCTTACTGACTCATTAGATATATACACCGCAACTTTAAAACAGCTTCCTTCCTTACTGACTTTTGAGATATATACACCGCAACTTTAAAACTGATTCCTTCCTTACGTAATCTTGAGATATAAATACCGCAACCTGAAAACTGCTTCCTTCCTCACGGACTCTCTAGATATATACACCGCAACTTAAAAACTGCTTCCTTCCTTACTTACTCTTGAGATATATACACCGCAACTTTAAAACTGCTTCTTTTCCTTCTGACTCTTGAGATATATATACCGCAACTTGACTGCTTCCTTGTTTACTGACTCTTTATACATAATAACCGCAACTTTAGACTTTCTTCCTTCCTTAGTGACTCGTGAGATACATACATCGCCACTTCCAAAGTGCTTCCTCTCCTACTGACTCAACTTTAAAACCTCTTCCTTACTTATTAACCCTTGATATATATACACAGCAACTTCAAAACTGCTTCCTTCTTTGCTGACTCTTTAGATACAACCCCCTCAACTTTAAAAATGCTTCCTTCCTCGCTGACTGGTAAGATTTATACACGGCAACTGTAAAATTGTTGTTTTTTTCTAAGTGACTCTTGAAATATATAATACCGCAACTTTTACACTGTTTCCTTTCTTGTTACTGACTGCTCGGATATATACACCATCAGGTTTCTTGCAGTATATGCCGTTTTCGTTTGGCTTTTTATAACGGATATTCCTAGCTGAAATCCTTTCTTTAAGGCTCCAAGTTTGGCGCCTGTGTAATCTTATCATTTGCGATATAGAAACAATTTGTGAATTAAAGCGCGGAAAACTCTTCCTCACTTCTTTGTTTTTTACTTCAGTTTTGTTCTGTAATGACTTGTAGTATTGTTACGTAGCATAAGCGCGCGCGCTGACCGTTAATTGCACGCGCAGTCTGAGATCCATTTATGTTAGTTGGGAAACAAGATAGACAAGGTGCAAGGGGTAGATGCATATTCTACGTCATGCCTAAGGTCTTCTTGAAAGAAAGTCAACAAAAACTTACCTCCCACTCTTAAATTAGCGTAACTTTACACTCATTGCATACCTATCAGCAGTGCGCGAAGCCTTGGGTTCGAAATTGGTGTAAGTCGTTCCCAGGAATTTGCGGGTTAAACAAGATGGCGGCTGGATCCACTACAGGGAGGACAACTCTTTTTGTCACTTCTAGTACAGGTTCGCATTAATGACACGTGTACGCCCGATTTTCTATGATTAATCAAAGTAGAATAGAGCTCAATCAATTTGTCATCGGAACTAGGTACAGAAAGATGTTATCGGTAATCTTTACACAGAGGTGATAAAACTCAATGTCGAGAAACGACTTTCGTCCAAATACGTTAAAATTTGCGAGAAATAATCCAACCTTGAGAAATCTGATGGTAGAGCCTCAAAAATCGAAGCTCGATCACTTCACAATATCGATTCCAAATGGCGGAAGCAGAGAAAATTCAGACGGCCGCAAAGAGCTTGTTGTCCTGGGAATTGCTTTGGATTCGCTTCCCAAGTCAGCCCAGTTCTTTTTTTGTTGTGGAGGAGTTTTCGTGTTTTATCTGATTTATGGATATGTTCAGGTGAGGAATGAGGCAATTTTTCTGTACAGCACCATAATTTGTTGTGCATGCAGTTATTTTATGAAGAAAAAGAAAACAAAGAAATAGTTTGCCTTTTGCTATTAGGCCGCAATTAATCCGCCCAATGCACTCCCTAAAAAAAATCTCAAACCTGGCATTTACACACTACTTTAATTTGGTAGCATTTCAGTCCGTTCAAACTTCCTTGAAAGCTACGCCTGTATCAGTTTTATTGTGAAGCATTTTAGGTTTTCAAACATCAGAAGACATTTTGTGCGGCATTTGTTAAATTAAGGCAAAAAATCATTTTATAAAAAAAAAAAAAAAAAACAATTGCAGTGCTCTGAGTGTCAGTAAGATTTTTTATTAGCACCCCCTCTCCTCTCCCCTCACTAATTAGCCTCATTCTCTAATAAGCCCCTTACAACATTTTAAAACTTCCGTGATAATGTAACAGTACCTTGAGGGTGAGCAAATGTATATAAAGACATAAATGATCTGATATTTTATAGAATTATATAATTGAATAAAATCTCACACTCTGATTGGTTAACGAAGCGAGGTATTTAGCGTGGAATTGCGAGTTGAAAACGAGGCTAAGTGATATTGTTTCGCATCTACGTAAACATAACAAATTTTAAGTAATGCTGTTTCCTATTGTTTCCTATTTTGTCTCATTTTTATTCAGTTATGCGATTCAAGGAAAATTCATTACTTCACTCGTGAATTCCGCATTATATTGCACTTGAAAACCGATATTGCACTCATCGCTTCGCGATTCGTGCAATATCAGTTTTCGCGTGCAATTTAATGCAGAATTCCCTCGTCAAGTAATGAATTTTCCTACATAAGAGACTTCTGGGAACAAAGTTAGGAAGTTTTGGTCAACAAGAGTGAGTCTGCTAACTTTCACCACATACGTGGTAGATGATTAAAGAAACATTGATATAATTATTGAAACAACACCAAAGAAATGGGTATGGCAGTCATATCATGTTTTAATAGAATAGAATGCTTATTTGACCAGTAAAAGCTTAGATGTGTGAAACAACTAGATTTTCAGTATTGCTGGAACATATATTATCAGAATAAAGGCTGATAGTTTCTAAAGAAACTGTTTGGGGCTACGTCAGTGGGGGTAACGAAATAATCTGAATATATCAACAAAGTTGAAATGGTAAATTGGCCACCGTTACGATTATAAAAGCTGACGTTTCGAGCGTTAGCCCTTCGCGTTAACCCTTAGTAGCGTTAGCCCTTAGCGTTAACCCTTTGCATTAGCCCTTAGCGTTAGCGTTAGCCCTTCGCTCCGACAAAGGGCTAACGCTCAAAACATCAGCTTTTATAATCGTAACAGTGGCCAATTTACCATTTCAACTTTGTTGATATATTCAAATTATTATCACAATAGTTCCATGTTGCTTGTAATCTGATGAAACAAGATGGTGTACACAGTAATCCAACCACCTACTTTTTTTTTTCTCCTGCTTCAAAACTCATTGGTAGCCCTGAGTTGTGAAACTTTAGAGTTTAGAAACCAGTTGTCAATTTTCTTGTCCCTTAAACAGGAGTGGATCTTTAGAACGGGAATGAAGCCATTTGGCTGGTATCTCACTCTTGTTCAATTTGCTTGGTATTCAGTATTTGGATTATTTGAAACCAGCTTTCAAAGAGACAAAGCAAGAAAGTAAGTGAAAGAGTTACTGACAAATTATTGGTTGAGGTTGCACATGATATCATGAGTTGTCACAACCAAGATGTTGAGTTATCTTGCAAAGTCACATGCAAAGGTAGATAACACAGACACAACATTTGATCATTCATGATGAGATTGACATGCAAGTTACACTGAATTCAATACAATTTGTTTTATTCAACATTTTTTAAACAGTCTGCAAAAGGGGATGCTTCTTTCTGAGTTAACAAAAGTTAAGGAACTCTACATGGTCAAAGGACTTGGAAACTGGGCAAACTTTGAACTGGACATGTTAAATGCAGTATCCATCACAGAAATTGCATTTATCATTTCTCAAGCCACTGTATATTGACTAAATACTCTTGACCGATCAGATTTTTCTGAGTAAGTCTTACATGTAAACATATATAATGATATTTATCCTTGTCATCTTCTTGTTTGCAGAATTCCTCTGAGGACATATTCACTTTTAGCATTCTTGACTGTGGCCACAATGGGACTCTCTAACGCATCTCTTAGCTATTTAAACTATCCTACACAGGTAGAGGAGTTATTAAAACATCTGTAAAATACAAATGATTTTAGGTTTTATTGTTACTATATTTAATTAACTCCCTAACATAATTCACTACAAATTTAAAATAAGTATGGAAGATATTTTCAAGCTTGTCTATGATCATTTCATATGATGTAGGTTTTTTTGGGTCATTCCAGTTATAATTGACACAGTACAGGTTAAACTAAGTAACTGTTATTCAGAAAATTTATTAAATTGAGAATTAGCTGTACAGGAACCCTCTGGATACCATCCTAATGGCTGATTGGGCCACCCTGGTGAAATAAAGTTAACATTACCGCTTACCTTACCAAAAGTTTTCTAATTTGCCCTTGGTAATTTTCATTGATTTCAGGTCATTTTTAAATGTTGTAAGTTAATTCCAGTGATGATTGGAGGCATTATCATACAAGGTAATGCTGAACTGTGATTAAAGTGTTAAAAACTTGCCTGGAACTGAAATATAACCACAACATAGTTGCTTTAGCTATCACTTTACAAAGACTTTTCCAAGAAATATTTTCAGTGATTAAAATAATGCTCCTTTATTGGACATAGTATCAAGCTTTGGATCCATCAGTGCTGCTAAAAAGGTTTTATTTTCCTTTGTCTTAAGGAAAATCCTACAGACTCCTTGATTTTCTAGCCTGCCTGTGTATGAGTATTGGCTTAATACTCTTCACCCTAGCTGACAGCACAGTCCAACCAGAGTTCAACAATACTGGTAAGCTGTGGTTTCCATGTCTTATCACTTGTTTCTACCAATCGTCTTCTCTAAGGAAATTCATGATCTGGGTTATACCTGGTGAAATAAAGATGTCTATATTGAATTGTTTTTTCAAAGGGGTAGTTTTAATCTCCCTGGCCCTGTGTGCTGATGCTATTATTGGAAACGTACAAGAGAAGGCCATGAAGGAACACAAGAGCTCAAACACAGAAGTGGTAAGCGTGCACAAGGCTCATTTCTTAAAATACTTCGGTTTTATCAACTGAATTGATAATAAAAATTGGCCTTGGTAGAAGATATATGGAAGCTGACATTTCAAGTGTAAGCCCTTTGTCCATCTGCCGTGAGAAATTACAAGAAATTGGTGTTTGATCAAGATGACAATTTCTACCTGATAAGTTTGCATATTCTCGTTACCTGTTTGGTGGATAATGCATGGATATTATAGGGAGAGGTTACATGTTAATCACTTCTGGGAATTAAAGGGTCAAGGCCCATGTAGCACAGTGTGGGTTAGTTGTGGGTTTTTACATCCCTGTGCTTTCTAACATCATACCTTTAGTGCTTTGGTTTTTGTTTGTTTTTTTTTTTTGTTTGTTTGTTTTTTTCCCTTTTCTTTTTTTTTTTTTTTTTTTTTTTTGATTTTAGGTATTGTATTCTTACGGCATTGGATTTGTTTATATTTTCATTGGTTTGATATTTTCTGGTGGGCTTGGACCAGCATTTAAATTTTGTGCACAGGTAAGAATGTAAGCAATGAATCATTAACGTGACTTCTGATCCCATAAATCTAATCGCTGATTATAAACACTGTGCAATTTATGGCAAATCTGTAGATGTGGTGGGCCTGTTTGTTAGTTGGGCGTTTTTCCTCTTTTTGCGTTTTTCATGCGGACGGAACGAGACGTGTACCAGACGAGAAACGCGAAAAAAAGTAACGCATTTCATTTTCGCTCTCCTCATTTCGCGCGTATTTTGCCTCGCGTTTTCTTCTGCTCGCTTGTCAAATGCAAAAAAAAAATTACGTCTGTTTTGGAGGCCACATCATGATTGGTTCGACGGCGCGTGCGGCTAGTACCAAAACGTAGCGCATGATTTGCAAAATATTTAACCAATGAAAAATGAGCAGGCTTATTGTTGTTTAGGTCTGTGCACCGTTGGTTGATTGACGAAAACGTGATTTTTAAATTTAATCTTCTTATTTGTCTATTATGTAGAATCCATTCCAAGCCTACGGGTTATCATTCATCTTCTCCATCTCTGGATATCTAGGAATAACTTTTGTACTCACGCTTATAAAAGCGTTCGGTGCTCTTCTCGCTGTAACAGGTAAACTTTAGTTGCAGAGCTCGCTATTTTTAAAACGACCGCGGAGTAAATTCTTACCGGGTATTATGTTCTCTTTCAGTGACAACTGGCCGGAAAGCTGTGACGATGGTGTTATCTTTCATATTCTTCGCAAAACCATTCACTATTAAGTAAGTCTGCGGGCAAATAACCTTTTCTGAACTCTGTGAGTGCTTGGCAAACGCGTTTCTACACTTTTTTTTTCCATGAATGACTTCATGAGTCAAAACAAAGACACCTTGTCATGTGCGATTCTTGTGCCTGAGACTGGCCAGACGCGTCTTCCCGCGCTTTTCGCCGGTCACGGCGGTCGGTCACGGCAACCGATCACAGTCGCACTTACTTCTAATCCTTATTGGTTGATTGTATTTTTTACCTTTCCTGTGATTGGTCCCCTAATGGCGTTCAACTTGTCTCTCTCTGCAGCTACGTCTGGTCTGGTTTCATCGTTCTTCTTGGCATCTTTCTGAACGTTTACAGTAAAAATGAATCACGAATCAACGCGTGGGTTTCTCAACACGGAGCGCATTATTTGAAGTTTTTCTCACGAAGACAAGAGAGGACTCCTTTTATGGAAAACGTTTGATATCAGATGAGATATCTATTAACCACGACGTGAGGGAGTTATGTCAGGATATTTGAGATCTTTTTTTGCAGTGTAGAAAAATAACCTGAAACTGGGGAGATATGTATATCTTATTAACCAAGCGCGAGGGCCGTACTGGGAGAATATCGGCCCGAGGTCTTGACAGTACGTGCTGAGCGCAGCGAGGTCCATACATAAAAGACCGAGGGCCGATATTCTTCCAGTACGGTCCCGAGCAAGCTTGGTTAATAAGAGATTTATTATACGACTGAAGTTCAAAGGGAGACAAGTGCGGTATCATTCGGGACCATTCGGGACAGTGCCCGGTCCAATACT